GTTTTGGCTAATAACCGTTTCCAGGGTTTGCCATAGAAAAATAATTCTCTTAACACCATGGGAGGCGCCCAGTCTGATCCATTGGAATTTTCATTTCCACCTAAGCGCCATATTGGATTTTATTAAAAATTTAAGTACAGACGATCCTCTACTTACAAACTTTCAACTTACAAACTTTCAACTTACAAACTTTCAGACATACGAACTAAGAGGACTTTAAGTTCAAACTGTGTTCCTTGGGCTCCCGGTTCCTGTCTGCAACATCAATTTTTTGTTTTTTTCTGTGCACCAATTCTGCCTAGTACGCTTCTGGCTGCGTAGTGTGCGTACTCCCAGCATCCTAGTTCTTTGTATTTGTGTATACCCTTAAAATGATGTTGAATAACGACTTACGAACATTTCAAGTTACAAACGGCCTTTCGGAATGTAACTCATTCCTAAGTAGAGGAGCACAAATTTTGTCCAGTCTTCACCTTTCAAATTTGGCACATTGATAGAGGACAGTCCAACAGATTTCATCTCTGGATTTGGGGTTAATTCATCATTGCCTGTAGAGCCCAAATTTCATGTTAAGTTTTTGCTTATAACCTTTGAACCATTTGGCCTAGAGTTGTGATCTTTGATTCTTCAGAACCTGCTTTTGTGAACTGCTCCTAGGGTGTTGATCCAGTCAGCACCAAATTTGGTGTGCATCATCTTCCAAGGGCTTTGAAGAAAAGATGTTCAAACTATTGTGCTAAGTCAAATGCTATGGCTGCTTTCCAATGAATTTGATGACAATGCTACCAAACAGTACATGAGATCCTATCTCAGTAACACTTTGATGTATCAAAAGTATATTTGAGATCTGGACTTGGGACCCCATTCTGAGGCCACTCTACAAAAAGTGTCATTCCACCACTAGGGGGTGCTACAATAAGCAAAGTTGTGTTTTGGCAAATAACTGTTGAAGGGTTTGCCTTAGCAAAATAAATCTTGTATCTGCTAATGCCATGGGATGTCCTCAGGCTGATGCATTTTCATGTTTCCCTAATTGATGTGGCCTCCATATTGGATTTTATTGAAAATGTAAGAATTTCCCACAGACCACAAATTTCATGTCATTTCATCACTGCGGGGCGCTGAAGTGAGTAAAAACATGTTTTTCCGAATACATTTTGAAGTATTGGCCTTATTAAGATGGTTGTTATGAATGGGGATTGTCAGGATTAGTCTCTGTCAGTCCCATGATGTCCCTGTTTTGCCAGCAGTTGTTGCTGGCCTTCCCATATGCTCCTAATGGTTCCCAACCTAATGTCTTAATTACTCACAGCTGTCTCACATTTATAACTCAGTACCTGTGTATATGCTACTAATCAATCCTGTCCTTCTGAGATTCTCTCTACCTACAGTATACCCAGGCTACGTCTCTTTCTACAAAGTTGCTGGGACCTGTCCTCCGTCTCATTTTAGGCAGAATTTACTCTTTTATGAATCATTTTACTCTGACTAATTTCCCTTACTTGTTCCTGATCTGTTGGTGTTGCAATTTTTCTTGAATGTTTCATTTTGTCTTTTAGCTTATGGTATATGGTCTTTGTGCATATGTTCTTGTATTTTCTCTTTCTAAATTTCTTTCCATTCATGCAGTAGTGGTATGCTCGGCCCCATTATTGCTGCTTGCAGCTATATTTTTAGTTTGTTGTAGTTTTTTAGTTTATCGTTTTTCTTGTCAAGCCTTGTTTTTATTTTTATTTGTTAACAAAAATGTTTTTTCACATTTAGTTTTCTTGCTCCATTAATATTCGCGAGCAGTAATAACCCTGATGAGGAGTGCACATTAGATGAGCGGAGCAGGTTGACAGGGCTGCCCAGGGAATACATTGGTGTACAATGCCTTTCTGGTTTTCAATTCCGTGTGCGTATACCTTGCTGCCCCCTGTTGGTATTGCAAGATTATTGCTTGTTTACACAGTTTTGACCTCAAAATTATTTTGCGATGTACATCAAAACATTTTTTTGGTGTTCACTTTGCTGTGTAATCCAACGCAGAACATGCAGGAGTGATCGGGGTGGTGTGTTTTTTATTTTTATTTTTTTTATTTTTTTGTACCCTGCTCACTCAAGGTAACTTTCAAATGCTCATTTCCCAAACAGATCTACCAAAACTGCTGCACTTGCTGGTTCATCATAAACTGCTATTTATAGTCAGCGGTGAGGAATGATTTACACGAACCGAGAAGTTCCGAATAAATTCAGGTGCTCCCACTAAGCGGAAAATCAGTGAGGCAGCCTTTGTGTTCCAGATTTCAGCTCTTGTGTCTGGTACGGGCTACTGTTTGTTTGTTTTTAATTAGTGATGTCCTAGGTAGAGCCGGCCTCCCCATTTGTGTGCTCGGTCATGGTTGTTATTGGTAATGCTTTCACCTGGAAGTAATTAAGGCACACAGGGCATTGGGTCAGCCTGAGGTTCAGGGGTGGGCCTCCCCCCCCCCCCTTTCTTTATTTTACTCTCACACCTCAGTGGAGCCTATCTCGAATCCCCAGTAGGTCCAGCTAGACCCACACAAGCAGCAGACAGCCTGTTGATAAATGCTTTTGGAAAATTTCTGATAGATTAGCATGATTCGGCTTATGGTTCTGTGATGTGGGATGCATGTTCTTGGACGCATTTGTCTTTAAAAATCTATTCTCTAAAAGCCAAAAGGAGTTAATACATTTTACACAAACCTGACTAGGGGTGATTTAAACAGCAAGGATGAAAATGATTATGATGGTCTTGGAGAACGCATGCTACACTTATGCAAATGTAGTGGAGGTAAACGTTAAACTGATTTTTAAATATTTATTAGATTATAAAAGGAATAATGATAAAAATTGCAAAGCTAGCTAAGTTTTTTTTCTATGAAAGAATAAATGTGTTTTAACAAAACTTAAACTCCCTGTGCTATAATGTCTGTACAGAATTTAAAGAAAGAAAAAGCCTGACCTTAATCTAGCTAACTAGCAATGTGAGAATTGCATGTTAATAACATGCGATGTTGCTATTAATAGCATACATCATTCAGCCCTATAATGTAATATAGTATAATAAAATACCATTTTTCAAATTCAGTACAAAATACCCCGCCTCGCCTTTGTGATGTCATTTGGCGCCGGTACTAGTTTTTACACCAGTGGAAAACCAGCACCTTGAAATACTGCACTTTTGGTACTTTTCTTGAAGTACCACAAGTATGATACCTGGTGCGGTGGAAAAGCATCCTTAGCAGGCTGTGTGATAGGCCGCCAGCTGGCTTCGTGCTAGTGTGCTAGCAGCCTATGTGATAGTATACTAGTGAGCTTTGTGTTAGCGTGTTTGGGGGTTAGGTGATAGTGTGCTAGCGGGCTTCATGCTAATGCACTTTGTGGTAGTCTGAGAATTTGGTGATACTACTCACGTCACTTATAGAGTTGCCACCATCATCCCATACAATACGGGATCGTCCTGTATTACAAGAGACGGGTGGTGACCCTAGTCGCATACTATGTTGCCTACTACACAGCAAACAAGTATGTGATTTTGGACCCGGCCTGTGTGTTCTTTACCATGTGACATAAGTACTATACTCTTAACAGTTTGATGATATGTAAATTTTGTTTGTTCTTACCAAATCAGCTAACTAGTTAAAAAATGATCAAGTAAGTTTTTAAATCAAGCTCTAGTTACTAAGTTGAGCTCTGCTGAGGCAGAAGATTGACAAGGAAGTGAGACATACAGACAGTGCTGAGATGCTATGAAGCCTGAAATTGCTTTGTTTCATATCGGTCTGTGTTGGTTGTCGTACTGTTGTGGCCTCTGAACACGCAGGCAATGTGTGATAGGTGCTTGCCGGTTTGTTTTGTCCTTGTAATGATAGTGTTAAGTAGTGCACTTGTACCTAAGCATTCACTGGAAGCTCAGCCTAGCTGCATTTATGTCCAATCGACTCCATGACAGCATGTATATTTGTAATGTGATATTTATCTTACTTGTATGTCGCATTTATATATTGTACGTTACATTTTTTACATTGTGCAAATAAGTCTCTCTTTTAATTTTGTCGTAATTCAGACACATTGACAGATGCATTGCCTTTGGGGTACAACTGTTCCTAATGGTGTTTATATTTGCAGTTTTAATAATAAATAAATCCCTGTTGTACCAAAATTGCACCGAACTGTGAACCTAAAACCGAGCTTTTCAACAATAAATAAATAATACTATTCATACTTCCACATGGAGCGATGGAGGAATCACAGCCGTTTCAGAGTAACCCACACTGGGGGCAGTCCCAGGGCTCTCAGATGGCAGATTTAGATGCTCTCTGTCGTATCTATGTTTCCATCCAGCTTATCGCTAGCCTGGGCAGGTCGTCCCATGTTGGTGGAGTGGTATGTCGACACTGTGTTGTGCTGTTCATGCCAAGATATTATGGAACTGTCCCTCAGAGTACTCGTGGTGAACTGGGGTCGGCCGGATCATATGAACCCTCCCGTCTTTGATGTACAAATTGAAGGATTTAAGAATGCTGAATCTTTAGTTATGGAGTCTTTATCACACTCAGCTGGAAAACAAGCTGGTTGCTCCTCCTTTACACATGTGCTGGAGCGATGGTGTTATTGCTCCGTGTGTGTGATGGGAGTGTGGGGTGGCTGCTTTCTCAAGTTCAGCCTGAATATTATAGGAAGGTGCTTCAGGCCAGTCAGCAGTGCATATGCCCACACCCACTACCCCCAGGCAGAGGTGGATAGTTTAGGTCCAGTGAGTAAAAGTCCAGACCAAGATTTTGTTTCAACGAGCCAGTTGAATACTCTGTGAAAAATATAATTTTGGGAAGTGTTTTAAAAAAAAGCTGCTTTAAAAGTGACAACCTACTGTATGCAGACTAACGTGAATGGCTTCGGCTTTGGGTCACTTCCTGCGGCACACACTCTGACATCATAACACATCATAATGACATCATAACACGCCATTGTCCCCCTCTCTTCCTGTCCTCCAGAAAAAGGTAGTGGAGCAGCTGAGGAAGGACCTGCTGGTGAAGCAGGAACAGCCAGACGTGCGGCCGGACTGCAAGGCCCCGGCGCCCCCCGCAGGCCAAGCCGCCCTCTCCCTGCCTGCACACAGCCCCGGTGGCCAGCAGGTAGCGCCGACACCCCTTCGTTTGCGTGAGAGCTGCTCTTGTGCAACCTGACCTTACAGAGGGCTCATGGGAAGCCCGTTTCACCTTTAATTTCTCCTGTTTCTGGGTGTGTTGTGTTGGCATGCCTAGAGGGGGTTCAGAAGTCCCTTGGTCTTTTTTAATTCCTGCTGCATCTTCTCTGGGAGTTTTTCCTTCCTGTCCTCCATCTTCCTATTACTTTTTTGTTCCCTGCAACTTCAAAATGATGACAAATTACCAAATGGTTATAAGTAACTACTTCTAATGTTGGCATTTAATCTCTGGTGAAGTGCTTTGGGCCACTGTGGATGGGAAGACAGACCCAGCAACCAAGCAGCTCTATCTGTCCCCTTCGGACTTTAACACGCACCAGTCCCTCACCCCTAGTTCTGCTGTCTCTGCTTGTCCTGGGCTCACAGGCCAGGCCCGGTCTGTCTTTGTCTTAGCTGTGATGCCCCAGTGCTTCTGGACAAGGTCTGTTGTCAGCTGCAGCCTGTTTCCTTGCAGACTGTTTCTTGGTGGTCAGCGATTCACTGAAATCAGAATCAAAACCAAATAGTAAACCACCTGCTAATAAATCTTCATCAGTACCTGCATTTAGGTTTCCTTTGTTATTTAAGGTTTTGCAGTTTCATTAGTACTGGTGAAATGCCACATTAGTCAGTGTTCACTGTGTGTGTGGCCATTCCATCCTGGGTCTCAACATTTTTAAGAAACACTCTGTCAGTTTTGGGAAATTGTGTTATCAATTGTGTTATCGTTTCGTTTTTAATGTTCTTATAGACCTGACAGCTTCCTTAAAGGCCCTGTTTGCAGTACACTGCTTATTAAATCCTTCATAAATAAGAAAATGTGAAGGCACACAGAGCAGGTCCTGACAGTTGAGACCCCTACATGATATCAGCCTTTATATAGCTGTTCACTAGAGGGAGTATATCTATATTTTAATGAATATAAGATGTGCTGGTGTTAAATTAAAAAAAAGTACAACTTAGTAAATATTTAGGTTGTAACAAGCACATCATATGTAATGTCTGTCCAGTTTGGAGGCAATTTGCTGTCAGCACCTCTCTAGTTGTCTTGGCCAGGATCCAAAGCTTAGATTTTAGATTGGAGAGACCACCCCCCCTTCCCCCCGGGCCATTGAACAGCAGCTCTGCCTCTCAGTGTCACCATCTGTTGCACTGAGGCCGGCCTTGTTTCCATGGATGCGAGGTCTCTGGGCTGCAGGGTTGTCCACAGCGCCGTGTCTCCTAGCCCTCTCTGGCCTGGAGTGCTCCTGCCCTCCACTGTCAGCTCTGCCAGATGAAGCATATTTACTGGCTGGTTCTTGCCATTGGGCTACTGTGGATTCCCAGCCTAGCATGAGGCTGAAGCTCGCCCCAATTCGGGGGCGCTGTTCTCAGCATGCTGTACAAGTGCCCTGCTTCCCATAGCCTGCAACGTGATTTAAGGTGAGTGAGTGAGCATGTGTTTGCCTCTCGCCCCCCCCCCCCTTGAGCAGAAGGCTGTGTCCGTCTCCTCGGTCATCGCCACGAAGACCCTGCCTCTGGTGCTGAAAGCTGCCACCCCAATGTTGCCCACTTCTGCTGTGATGCAGCGGCCCACAGTAGCCATGGTCACGGCTATCAGCAACACGCCCAAGTCCGGCGCCGTCAGCCCTGATCTACAGTGCGTGCCAATCGACCTTCAGACGCCTGGCAAGCTGGCCAGTCAGGGAGCAGATCCTGTGCGAATAGTTCCCAAGAACACCGTTGTAGTAAGTGCAGCTTGGGGGGAGTTTTCAAGAGCAAGTCATTGGCAGGAGAGTGTCATGTCATGGGTTGACTGTTTGGATGTCCCATGAAGCCTTGGGTGACGGTGAAAATAAGGACCCTTGTAGCATCTAAAATAATCCAAATGTCCATCTGCCTTAGTTTCTAGGTGTTCATTCTCCATCTGCATGTGCTGGTAGTGTGTATCAAAGTGTGTGCTTCATTGTTTGTGTTCAGAGTGTGTATGTGTGTGTGTGTGTGTGTGTGTGTGTGTGTGTGTGTGTGCACACACTTATGTGGTGGATGTGTCTGTAATGGCAGACTGCCTTTTTCACAGGTGCAGACCACCTCTGCTGCCCAGCCTATCAGAGTTCCTCAGTTCATCCCCCCTCCTAGACTGACTCCTCGACCCACCTTTCTCCCACAGGTTCGTCGTCTTCGTCGCTCTGGATGTACACCATCCTTCCCCTCTCTGTCCTCAGTGTCTTAGCCATGATAGACGGGACAGCTGCCAGTCAGTAGAAAGGCAATTTCCCCCCAGGATACCTGTAAGGTGACATCAATAGGGGACTCCTACAGCCTTTTCTGGTCGTCGTCTCCAGAGGCGGGAGCACAGGGGTGGCACTGGCTACCCTTGAAATCTGATTGGCCACCCTGCCTGGCCACCCTCAGCAGAGCTGTCAGTCAGTTTGTTCAGTTAGAGTAGCGCTTCAAACAGTAGGGCTGAGCTCCAGCCTCCTCTGTTTCAAAGCCTGTTGGACTATTACTGAAGCATGAAGACGAAAATGGGTTAAGTAAACAGTCATTTGCAATATTTAGTGTTTAATGATTCGCAAATGTTGACTTGAGCATGACATGTAAGTCGTATAGCGTTAGCATAGCGCCGCTAAGTTATAGAGTTCAGCTACACTGAGCTAAACATGCTAATTGAGTGACTAGGAAAAATTAGCCTGCACCAGAGCATGTGAGCGGAGTGGAGCGGTGAGAATTTCCGCTCCTCGCTCACGAGGCTGTTGGCTCCGCCCGCTCCTTCGCTCTAATTTGCACTATGCCGCTCCGCTCAACACCGCTCCTCGCTCCACTAAAATTTCCTCCCGCTCCAGTCAAATCGCTCCACGCTCGCTCCAATTTAAAAGAGGGACAAATAATCGGCATGCCTAACAAATGTCACCTTAAACCGAAGCCTTATATTATAAAGAAATATGAGCAACGCAACATTGCCACTCAGAAAATATTTATTTTCAAGCAACATATAGGCAACAACGGACGTTTGGCAATGGCATTCCACACAAAAATTGGCTTAAAAATAAAGGAATCAATAGGCCTAATAGCCTAAAGAATATACAGTCTATAAGCATCCATGTTTTAAATTCCTCAATTTTTTTCTGTTGCTGCTGCGTCTCTATATAAAATAAAATTTCACTGACAGCATTACGTGAAATTTAAAAAATCATATTAGACCTACTTTGAATGACGAAACAAATTTATTTGATTGCCAGTATTTACCAATATAGGCTTTTATACTATAATTTATAGACTTGATATACTACAACCATATAAAACTTGCTCAGGTTTTGCTCTGGCTTCCGCCAGTTCGTGTAAAACAATCTCATGTTTCTGAGAAAAATGATTCCAGAGTGAATCTTTAGTCACTGAAACAGTTTCACCACATTGTTGTTCTTGCTCTACATTATTGTCATCTATACGTTTGATAAGAATATTACACTTGTATGATCTATCAGTTTCCTTTGTGAAATACTTTGCGAATTCCATCTCGGCCAATTGATAATCGTACAGATGAATTCTGGGTAGATTTGGGCACGCCTCAGAATCATAGTGTGAGCGGTATCGGAGCGAAACAGAGCGACCGCTCCAGCCTTAATTAAAAAACCGCTCCGCGCTCTGACTAAATTCCACCCGCTCCGCTCCTCGCTCACGCTCCGCTCCTCGCTCACGCTCCGCTCCTCGCTTACGCTCTGCTCTACTCCACTCACATGCTCTGGCCTGCACCCTAAGCCCATGTCACAAACGTTACAGTTATCAGCCTCAAGCTTGCACGTTTTTGAACTAACTATTTCTGAAGAATATTTTAAGTAGTGAGAGTTGTTTTAGGTGAAAGTATGCTATAGTGAATAATTACATGTGATATCTAGCCTGTGTGTTTCAGTTTAGTGAGTCATTTTCCTGACCTAAAGTAACCAAACCAAACAATGTGCACGATTTCTACAGGGACAGACAATTTTAGGGAAAGAGCAGGATTAGGATGAAAAGGACTCAAAAAATTGAGAACTTTTTCACCATAAAAAAAATTATGATGTATTTAAGTTCCTTGTCCACTGCATAAGTCTTACATGCTAAACAAAATAAGTGTATTATTTAGGTAAATAAATCATTTTGTTATTCAAACCTTGGGCTACTGTTCATTACAATCTATGACTACAGGGCATTTAAATAAAATTGTCATTTTAGTGTGCCACTCTTCTACAGTCTGTGCCGCTGCCTGGCCCCCCCAAGAAAAAAATTCTAGTCCCGCCTCTGGTCGTCTCCAGGCAAAACACACAGGCAGTAACAGCAGAGGGTGCTGCTTTGCATATGTTTGGCCATTTCAGCCAGGGTATTTCCGGTGCTCTAGGGATGATTTGGAGACAATTTCAGATCCGGATTCTTTTGTCAGGTGTAGGTGCTGGTATGTCAGAACCACATGGCATCATGCTGCTGTCTTAGTATGCGGCCTTCAACCCCCTCACCTTGTATCATACATGCGTTTGTAGTGCTTACAGTAGCATTTACGAAAAAATATTTTTGCTGTCACTGCCTTGCACAGGCACCACAGGGGGTGAGAACTGTCCCGCAGCTCACAGAATTTTCACCATTTTCCAGGTCCGACCCAAGCCTGCCACACCCAACAATGTGCCTATCGCTCCTGCGCTGCCGCCACCCATGATGGCCGCCCCGCAGTTGCTCCAGCGGCCTGTGATGCTCACCGCAAAGATGCCCTCCGCCCCCTTGGGGCCCTCAGGGGGCCCCGTTCACCAGGTGCACATCGTTAACGGACAGCCCTGCGCCACCATCGCCAAGAACCTGTCAGGCGGTCAGCTGACGGGCATCGTCATCACCACCCCCAACACCCACCTAGCTACCTCCCACACACTGCAGATCAGCAGCATCAGCGGGGATTCCAAGGTAACAGGGCAGAAAAATGGTGACACTGTTATCTTAAGTTTCAGCTTAATAAACACTTTCCATCAGCTTCAGCTTATTAAAACTATTGGCATTAGAATCAGCTTAATAAACTGCTGGCATCCGCTTCAGCTTAATAAACTCTATTGGCATTAGCTTCAGCTTAATCTCCATTGGCGTTAGCGTCAACTCCATATACGCTATTGGCATTAGCTCCAGTTGAAGAAACTCTATTGGCATTAGTGTCAACTTAATAAACTTTTGGCATTAGCATCAGCTTAATAAACTGCTGGCATCCGCTTCATCTTAATAAACTCTATTGGCATTAGCGTCAGCTTAATAAACTCTATTGGCATTAGCGTCAGCTTAATAAACTCTATTGCCATTAGCATCAGCTTAATAAACTCTATTGGCATTAGCGTCAGCTTAATAAACTCTATTGGCATTAGCGTCAGCTTAATAAACTCCATTGGTATTAGTGTCAACTTAATAAACTATTGGAATTCGCATCAGCTTAATGAACTCTATTGGAATTAGCATCAGCTTAATAAATTTTATTGGCATTAGCATCAACTTAAACTCTGTTGGCATTAGTGTCAACTTAATAAACTCTGTTGGCATCTGTTTCAGCTTAATAAACTGTATTGGCATTAACATCAGCTTAATGAACTCTTAGCATTAGCTTCAGCTTAACTCTTGGCATTATCATCACGTTAATACAATTCAAACTGATTAATTTCTTTCTAGTACTTCTGATTTTATAACATGAATTTTTTTATTAATATATTTGCATAATGACCTTTCCCAAGGAGTTCTTCAAAATTGCGATTAAGAAATTACGAATGAGTAATACGAGTCACTAAGACTCGCGCTACTAACGCTAACACTAGCGCTGTCTGTAGCAGTGTCTGGGTTCTATGAGGCCTCTGTTTCCACCTGCGCGTAGCCATGTTTAAACCTGAGTGACGCTTTCATCTCTCTGCTCTCCCCCCCCCCCCCCCCCCCCCCCCCCCCCCCCACAGACTGTTAAAGCTCAGGGCACTACGGAGCAGACGGAGCCCCCCAGCATCTCCTCCTGCACTCCCACCCCTCCCCCTCCGCCAAAGCCTAAACGTGAAGAGAACCCCCAGGTGAAAAGGGGGAGGGACTTAGTTTTTATTAGATGCTTTCCCAGCAGACATTGAGACAGACTGGGCCTGAAAGAATGAATGGTTGCGAATGTTAAGGCTTGGTTGGTACTTCCCACGAATGCAGCCGTACTGCACTGTGCACACCATAGTGCCAGACCATCCACGGTCATGAATGCTCATACTTGTCAACGTTTCAGGTGCTAAGTTACGTTTATGAAGTGTGGTATGGATGTTTTTTGAAAAATAAGAATTTTGCTAAAACTAACCATGCATTGTGTAATACATAAACCAGGGTTATTGTTAACAAAAGCATTTACGTGAACTGAAATAAAATAAGATATGAATATAAAATAAAAAAACTACAACTAAACAACAACTATAAATATTGTTTCAGCAGCTAACTGAAATGAAATAAAAACAAATGTCAAGTCAACTTTCAATTACTGCTTTTGAATTCTATTTGGCTACAGTTACAATTTATCTTTGGGCCTCTTTCTTAAGTCATACTTGAAGCCTACAGCAATACATTGCAAAATCTTGTAGTAGCCGCCAGAGTCAAACACTTTTCAGTCTATCCATAGAAATAAAATTACTAAAACTGAAACTAAAATATGAAAAAACTAGACATACATCTTGAAAATAAAAACTAATAAAGCCACACCTGAAACTAATGTCACTAATGCACGGACATAGACAGGTGTATGGCGTAGCAGTTACAAACATACGTTAATTTGCAGCCACATAGAAGTGTTTATAATCCTATAACAGGAAACACATAAATGGCAGCATTTCCGGACTTCCTCAGTCAGGCTTTCTTTTAATAAGTTGCCATATTTGTTTTCAGTCTGATCAGAGAGGTTAGAAAAAACGATTATATAGACTCTTCAGTCCAATCTCATTTCTGACTTTGTTACCTTTTTCCCTGGGCTGTGAATGGTAGGGGTGTGTTTGCAGTCATTATTTTAGTTTTCAAGTGGGTCACGCCCTCATGCATGGCCCCCTAATGCGGTCCGTGTGCCAGACCTCGCTGATGAGAATGATTCCCCGCCAGGCATGCGGGTGTATGCGTCCGCATTAAGTGTCAACCAGCCTTAATGTGATCTTCAGGGCCTTTTCACACTTAGCATCCCCATTAGACATTAATGCCCCCCCCCCACAGAAACTGGCCTTCATGGTCGCCCTGGGACTCGTGACTTACGATCATCTGGAAGGTAAGAAAACCCCTGTCCAGTTTAGGCTTGGCTCTGTAGCAAAGCGTGCATGCACACCTTGACGCATGCTGTGGGGGTCCCGTCTTGGGGGGGGGCAGAGATTCAGAGCCGGAGGCAAGAGCGCAAGCGGAGGACAACAGCGAATCCCGTGTACAGCGGTGCTGTGTTTGAGCCAGAGGTGAGAGCCACCTCAGCCTCGCTCCGTTAGCCCAAAGTCCACAGAGGAATGGCCTTGCTACTGTGACCCTCTCAACTAATGTAAACTTCCTGTGTGCAGAGGAAGAAGAACACTGTCACCTACCTGAACACGCCACTCCATCACGGCACCCGCAAGAGAGGTCAGTATGAACTCATTGGCTGGCTTTTGGGTCAAAGACACTGCCCGGGTGGCAGCCAGAAATCCCCTCACATGCCAGGCCTTCTGAAGGAGGACATTTAAAAATAAGCTTTATCTCCTCTGGGGTGAATCACAGCGGGTGACACCTTGTATATGAGACACGAAACATGACTACATCAACCTGGGAGGTTGGAAGCTCATCTGCTCACAATCCACTTTGCACGATCCACAGCTCTATGTCTCAACCAGCAGAACAAGCAAAGTCACATTCACATGCAGGACACGTGGGCTGTTTTCAGTGTGGGAAAAGTACACCGTTTTCATACTTAAGTAAAAGTACAGCTTCCACATGAGGATGTTAAAGTCCTCACTCGAATTCAAGTTAAAAAATACCTGGTTTAAAAGGACTTAAGTAGCATAAGTCACAGTTACTACACATTCAAATCTATTACTCTTACAAAAAGCAACCTATCCTTTTAAATTCACTCAAGAGAGGTTTGAATACAGCTTTTTAAGTTATGGTGAAATATGAAAAACTGAGTCACAAGAGGATAAACGGCTGTTTTATTTTTATTCAGAAAAATGGCAGAGCAGATAAGTGGAATGACATTACATCGTCCTATAATTACATCAATCTGTGGGCCAGATATAAGGCTTGTCCTATGCAGGATTACCCATCCTGGATGCAGGGAATAACCCCGGAGGGGGGGCGTCACCCCATCGCAGGGCGCACACACCATTCACTCACACACACACACACACACACATCTATGGGCAATTTGGTAACTTCAGTTACCTTTGGCATGTTTTTGTACTGGGGGGGGGACCAGAGTACCTGGAAGAAACCCCATGATTACACAGGGAGAACATGCAAACTCCACACATAGGAACCATGGTAGAAACTTGAACTCTGGTCTTAGAAGTGTGAGGCTACAGTGCTAACCACTGCACCACCGTGTACTGCCTGGCAAAAAAGAAGTGATTCATATTTTACCCAGAATCATGCTGCTACATGCTTTTCTCCAAACAATGGTCTTGTACGTAGTGTATCAATAACAATGTTATTAGTTACAAAAAAATGTAGTGAAGTGAAAGTTGCTACAACTTAAAATACTCCTTAAAAACCTAGTTAAAGCTATCCGTGTACTTCAAACAACGCAGACAAAATGAAATCTAACACATCAGCAAAAACATGTTTGTCACATACTTAAAATGACCCCCTCTTTCCGTGCCGCACCACACCCCTCGAGGGCACAGAACGTCTCCAATGCGGCAGACCCACCTACAGTCGTGGTCAAAAGTTTTGAGAATGACACCAATATTCATTTTCACAAAGTGTGCAGCAACAGTGTTTGTAGATCTTTTTGTTAGATGTTTCTATGGTATACTGAAGTACAAGCATTTCATAAGTGTCAAAGGCTTTTATTGACAATTACATTAAGTTTATGCAAAGAGTCAATATTTGAAGTGTTGGCCCTTCTTTTTCAAGACCTCTGCAATCCACCCTGACATGTTGTCAGTCCTGATTGATGGCAGCCCATTCGTACAGAGCACACAAATAAATGTATTGTGGCAAGTGCGTGAGTCATTTTAATAATGTTAATGACAGCTCTTTTAAAAGGGAAGTTGTCATTTTTATTAACTGCCACTATCAACTAATACTAGCAGTGGCACAGACAGGGAAGCCAACAATTTACACGTCACTCGCAGTTACAAGCTAATGAAACACACGCATTCCCCAGCAACTTTACATGGTTGCAACATTTACTATATACAAAAGAAATACACAAATGCATATTAATTTACATTACTTACAGATACACATGGTGCGATGCGAAGCATGTCGGTACCTAATTAGTCCTGCTGACCAATCCTGTGGCATCATATTATGTCAGCCAATTGTGGACGGTGGGTGGGATCTGAAAAAAAATAAAAAAAGTTAATCTAGGGGACCCTGCACAGACGGCACACCAAAATGGTGATCACTGCAGTGATTATGGCTCATATCACATTGATTCCCTCAATTTATGCCTAAAGTATACAGCCAGCATATGCCTCTGACTGATTTCTTCTCACTATTAGACAGAAACCTTGTAGGCTCTTAGGTTCTATGAAATTTGTGTCCATATATGTTTCTGACACCAGTATCCTTGAATTGAATGACCCATCACAACAGATTTAAGTTGATTTTTCAATTGTATTTGGGTCGGGCAGCTGACAGGATGGATCTTGACTTCAGACCTTGGTTAGGGTTATGAAGACTACAAGGGTCCAGACCTTTGGTTCCGCATGAGGATCTCGCATTGTCAATAGAACAGTTTGTTCAGATGCATTGACCTCAAAAACCATTTTGATTTTAATCTATTTTTGGAAAGGCATTTACATATTTAATATACTGTATGAATAACTACATATCAGGTATTATCAGGTGGAATAAATTAGGAATGAAGTTTCAACTTTCCAGTTGTCCATTCTGAGCCGAAAATAGATGAAGACTTACACTTTCCAGGTGATCTTTTCTTGCTTTACTATGCACTTAGGCTATGAATTGATGAAAATACGTGTTATTGTAATTAATCACCCCTAACATTAAAACCTATAAACATAAATATTTACCTATAGAATCCCCATATTAATGTATGGTTTTGGGACTGGTCCTCTGCAGGCCCTGTCTCATGAAGATGATAACTCAAAGTGTTTGATAGATCTTTTTCAAACTTTGTAGTCATATTGTATAGGTCAGGAGCTGGAACTGATTAAATTTTGAGACAGATCACCCCAAAATTGAAGCAGCAAAGGGAAGGGTGGAAGCAGGTTTTTTTTTTTTTAAGTTGATGGATTTTATTACTGCTTCACAAAAATATAATATAAAATATTACATAATATATTATATTATATGAAGATATACACCTGCTTTCATTTTTAGACAGAATGTCCCTAAACTGGAGCAGCAGCGCTGTGTGGCAGCAAAGGAATGAAATGGCAGCTGGAGATGACACTTGGTTTTCTGAACACAGTAACTCTAAAAGTATTTTACAGATTTTTTTCAGCTTTTACAAACATGTTGTATGGGTTTGGATCTGATCATATTATGAGGTAAATCACACTGGTGCTTAGATGGATGAGATGGAGGCTTATCCGTATGTATAGGACCCATCTGTTTATTCTTACTAATCTATTTACTTTATGTAATCTTTGATGGATCTTATTACCACTTCATTATATGGATGAAAATCTGCACCTAAAAATGCACAATTGATCAGATCCAAAATTGTAACTGCAATACAGAGGGCAGTTAAGAGCAAAACTGGAGCCTGCTGCCATCTGTCATCTAAACTTAGTCCGTGGATCTCTTGGCAAAATTTATTGTAGGAGAATTTAATTCTCATTTTTTGGAGAGGTGGGGAGAGTGTGTAGGTGTGTAGGAGTGTGTACAGTAGGTGTCGAGTTATGTGTTACGACTGGGATTGAGTGTAATAACACATTTATTGACTCTCCATTCGGTCATTCTAGAAAGCATAGAGCTTGGGGGGGGGTGGTGTGGTCTGGTCAGGATTAGATTAGGGATTTGATATGGGGGATGATGAGACTCTTGTGGGAATACAGAAAGTCTCAAAGACAAAAATAAATTATGCTTATATGAGTGTTGCATGAGCCAAAAGAAGCAGCCATGGCATGAAAGCATTACACTCCACTGTGTACACCTACTGGCTTTGGACACTGCTCTCAAAACAGGTGAATGTTTGGGAACAAAAAAAACTAAAATCTAAAACCTATGTGGGTAATGTCTCAAAAAACAGAAGCCTGACAAAAAATATTGCAAATTTACAATACTTTTATTCTATTTATGCCTGCTTATGTCATTTAAAAAATAAATAAATAAAACAAAATAAACCAAGTGAGAATGATTCCTTGCTTTTCCCCTCCATCAGCTTGCTCGTGTGAATAAATATGTTTAATGTAGTCGTGAATTTGGGGATTTTTTTATACCGTCATGACTAGACATGTAACGATGAACCGCGAATCAGTTAAAAATCGATGTAAATGTATCACAATTTAAACCGGCTGATGTGGAAAATGAATCGCTACTTCACGGTACTTTACTTAACAGAAAAACTGGTGTAATATTACATTTGATTTCAAGACATCAGTTCAACTGCGTATTCATGTCAACATAGTGCGCTAGTTTTTGGTTTTGACCAAACGCGAGATGGCGAGCGAATTTGAAATTGAGGACACCCCTCCGATCTTAAATCAGCGGTGTGGCGGCATTTTAGCTTTCCAGTAATCACAAATGAAAACGGCGAGAAAAGCACAGACAAAACAAAAACTGCATGCAAACAATTCACCACCGCCAGAGTGAAGATTCTTAAAAGGGCAAACCACGCTAAAAAGCTGCACATGCAAGCCTTAGTTTTTTTGGTAACGCTTTATATTAAGTGCACCTTCATAATGCATTCATAGAACATTCATAAGCAGAATTGTCAATCGTATCGAATCGTGAGTTGAGTGTATCGTTACATCCCTAGTCATGACCAAAGATTTCACGTTATTTTCAACCGAAAAGGATTACTATAGGTCTCTATTAAGAATCTTTTCCTATATTATTCTACTATTTGAGCATCAAAATACGGTATGCATTAATGTAATCAAAGAAATCATACAGCTCTGCTATACATACACATTCTCAGAACCCCACACTCATACCATTCTGGCATAACTTCCAAGTACATTTGTGTCTCAAACAGAACACCATAGAAGTCTCCAGAAACATCTGCAGCTTTCAGAGGAGCTGTAGTCTGGTGAAATAAATTTGCTCGTTTTGTCTCCAGGTCTGTTTTATTTTGAGCCATTCTGCCTCTCAGCTGCCTGCTTGTATATGGCAGCACATGCACACCACTTGCATGGTGATTCCACGTCGCTCAAGAGGGCCTCGTCTCTGAGCACCTCTGTGATCCACACCACACATTCAGGCCCATGAGGTAGCTGATGAGGTTGTGCTGCTTCTGTCTTGGTCGTGTCCCAGTCATGCGTTGCCCCCCACCCACCCACCATCCCGTGTACTAACTGCGCTCCTCCTCCTTTTACACGCCAGCCAACGAGGAACCCCTGTCTAAGGTATGTCCGACAAACTGTTTCTTCCTCCCCACTTCTTCCATTTTTTTTCCCTTTTTTTCTTTTTTTTTCCTTTTTTTTCTTTTCTCGTCTGTCTCATTTTACTCAGGTCGCCCTCCCAAATACAGCACTGTGGCGGAGCTGGGCTGCCTCGGCCCGGCCTGCCCTGCCAGCAGCCACCCTGCCTCCCCGGCCCCCGACAGGCCCGTCCACTCCCACACCCTCCCTGTGCCCAGCCCCAGCTTCGGGGATGTAAGTAGCTGCTGGAGAAAACACCCACACTGGGCTGGCTAGTAGTGGACCTGCCACCCCACCCAAACCTGGTCCCCTGCCCAAATTCCCCCTCCCCCCAGCCCCTCCTACAGTGGCATCCCCCAGAGGACACCCCCCTACCCCCGATCGGAGGTGGCCACAATTCCCCGTAGGGCCTCGACGTGCACTTCAGCCCCTGAGGTAGCGACTGAACGCACCCCCATTTTGTTTCCAGTCCTTGGCGTACCATTTACATCCATCTGTCATTATTTTGTTCTCTTTCCATGTTTTGTTGAAGCCTTACAAAGTGACAGTCTCCCCCGCCCCCCCCCCCACCCTCACATGATGACCTGATGTCAAGCCTGTGAGGCTTGTTACCATTTAACAGCCCGTACTGAAGTAGATACTAGTATATAAGTAGTAACTAATACCTATAACGAGTAGCAGTTATGGTAGCTGAACATGGGTCTGTTTTCACAGTCCTGTGTTAACTTGCAGTAACCAAAAGGTCACAAAAGAAGTTTTAATGGTGAAAACTTAAAAATGCCGCCAGGGTCTGTCCGCAGCCCCAAGACGCCAAATAAGACAGTGGCCTGTCTATTCCTGCCCAGAGTCCTGCCTCCCTGCATCTCAATAGATCCTGCCTAAGAGGCAGCAGTACTGATTGGTGCAATTCTTCCCGACAGGGAGACATCCATGAGGATTTCTGCACTGTGTGTGGGCGCAGTGGCCAGTTGCTCATGTGTGACACGTGCTCTCGTGTTTACCACCTGGGCTGCCTGGAGCCGCCCCTGAAAGCCATTCCCAGAGGCATGTGGATCTGTCCCAAATGTCAAGACCAGGTAATTGCAAGACGTGGAACACGGCTCAGCAGTCCAGCGCTCCTCTTAGTCAGTGAACATGTACTGTCACACCATGGAGACAGGGGGCGCTCTTCAGGTCATTTTGGCACTACGGGAGGCGACAGAGTGAAAGCGGCTAATTTCCTGAGGGGGTTCGGGAGATAAGACTGTTGCAGGCTTTGTAAGCTCCACCACCTGTCCCAAACATCATCTGTTAAGTGAGACGCATCACTTCCCTAGTGTCCCGTCCTTTCGTTCGCCCATTCTGAACCCAGCAGTAACCTGGATCCTCCTCTGCATCCGGCAGGGGATGCTGCCTCTTTCTCATCCGGAAACATTGCACTGCGCCGAAATGAAATCTGTTCTCTCGTATCCTTCCCCCATCCCTGTGTAGATCCTGAAAAAGGAGGAGGCGATCCCGTGGCCCGGAACCTTAGCCATCGTCCATTCCTACATCGCCTACAAAGCAGGTAGACGGTGCGCAGGAAGGTCGGGGTAGTTCTGCGAAAAGTACTCAATTTTCATGCTTAAGTCAGAGTAAAAAGTAAATAATATCTGGTTTTAAAAGACTTGTGTAAAAAATACTATACATTCAAACTATTCATCTTACAAAAAGCAACCTATCCTTTTAAATTCACTCAAAGGAGGTTTGAAATCAGCATTGTATGTTACAGTGTATCACAAGGAAAATTGAGTCGCAAGAGGATACAGCAGTGTTTTCTTTTTATTAAAAAAAAAAACGGTGAGCTTTGGCAGCACAGATTAGCGCTTTTATTCTGTGGAAAAAAAGATCGACCTGCAGGCCAAATTTAATAATGAATGATAAACATTGTGCTGACCGGTACTTGGAGACCTCTTATAAGTGGTGAGTGAAAATCATCTCCATTATTTCAGTAGATGCTCTAATTCTGCTAACTTTGAATACTGGTATGTTAACTGATGTGTTCTACATTTCTACATATTGTTTTCTCATCAGTATATAATCCAAAATAATAAACAGAAATCTATTGCTCAAGAATCATGACAGAAAAATCACAATCTTGATTGTGGGTAGAAAAAAATCAGGCCTACTTGGGTGTATTGCGGGCACTAATTTTGTATTTGGTGAGTAACAACGGTCAACGGTCAGGCAGAATATATCATAGTAAAAATTCACTATTTGGCTCAGAAATGTCACAAAGTAAAAGCTGAATATATGACTCCTCGGCCCAAAGCTAAGGAGGAGGAGAAGCAGAAGCTGGTGAAATGGAGCTCTGAGCTGAGGCAGGAGCGTGAGCAGCTGGAGCAGCGGGTCAAGCTTCTCAGCAGCTCCATAACGGTGAGGAGCCCTGCGGGGTGGCTAGTGAGGGTGGGCCTGGGGCGTCCTGGGGGGTGAGGTCAGGCCGGTGGGGTACCTGGGGGGTGAGGTCAGGCCGGTGGGGTACCTGGGGGTGTGGCAGGTGATGGCCGGTGGGGGGGGCTGGAGGGCCAGCAGGTAACAGCTAGCGCTGTGCCCTGCTCTGCCCACCATCTCACTCCCCTCCTCTTTTTTTTTGCAGAAATGCATGGAGAGCAAGAACACTATCCTGGCCCAGCAGAATGAGATGCAGGCCTCTTTGGAAAAGGTCAAGGGTTTAGTCCACCTCATCCAGAGCGCCCGTGTCGGGCGGTCATCGGAAACTGTGTCCCCGGACAGCATCGGGGACCACGTTACGGACTGTGGAGGCGGAGACTCCTCTAACAGCACCAACGCCAAGGGTGATGCACACATGGACGAAGGTGATGGAGGAGGCCATGACAGTAACGGCAAAACCTCAGAACCTTCCCAGAATCCTGTGCTGCCCATCCTTGATAGCTCGGAGAGGGCAGACTAATGCCCGGAGTCGCCACGAACAAGAAGCAGAACACTGGATTCAAATAAACACACAAACGCAGCCACTCTGTGCAAAGGTGGTGCCAACAGTCGCCAATCTATATATGTATATGTACATAGGTTTTGTTTCGTTTCATTTTATTGTTGTTGTGCATTGTCAGACTGTGTCATCACTAGATCTCTGCCAGCCTTGGGGAACAGACCATCTCACTGGAAAGTTCCAGGCTGTTTTTTTTTTTTTTACCAGTGCCACACCAGTTAATGGTAGGAAGGAGAAACAGTTTTGATGATGATAATAATAATAATAATAATTATAATAATAGTTTAAAACGTCATACCAGTGTGTGCCTGCAGTAGTCGCCCTTGAGCCTCTCGTGGGGAATTTTTCTTTTCACTTGTGTTAGTCCTCAATACCAGGGAATTTGGATCAGAAGCTGAGAAGACGACTCGATGCTCACCTTCGGGTCCTGCTGTCGGCGCGGAGAGAAGCCGAACAGGAAGCAATGCGAGCTGGGCTTTCCACGGCAGTGTCAGTATTGGTTTGGTACCAAGGAATCCCACCCCCTTGCCCCCATAATGCAGGGAGGAAACTGGTGTGGCCTGCCCCTCCCCCAGGGTCATTTCAGTGTCCACTCTCCGTGCATCTCTGTCTAACTTCTACTGGCACTAGCGATGACATTGCAAGAATGCAATCTCTAAAAAACAAATTTATTTATTTAATTTGTAAACATTTCTTTTATAGGATAATATTTTCAGGTCTTCCTAGCGTTCAGAAAATTCAAAGTGCTTTTCTGTTTCGCAGCAGTCATTTCTAATAAAAGGTATTAGACTTGGAATAGTTTCTGTAAATAATTTTCATTTTTAAAAGGATCTTTGCATTGAAGATATACTTCTGTGTTAGATTCTGAACTGCCAAATGCTAATGTATCCAAATCCAGCAGGGACATGTCTTTTTCTTTGAAGTCAATCACAAAAACAAGATGTATGGAGAAATGCGCACCTGCAACATCAGGAATTTCGTGAGGGGTCGTTTTTATCAGGTGCATCCGCAGGGCTCCGCAGCACGACAATGTTCACAGAGGTGGAGGAACATCAGAACTGAAGCACAAATCCGTTTCCCACAGGTAGCGAGAAATTGTTGTGGCGCGTCGGCTTTCCGGCAGAATGGCTAAGAGCGGTGAGATGCAAGCCATGACCTCAGGTCAGAGAGAGAGACTGCGGAGGGGATGTAGAGCAGAAGCTGGGGCCCTGCCGTGGGACCCCAGCATCCGCTGCCCTCCCTGGACATACGCACACCTCTCATGGATGTTTGGTCTGCAATGTGGCCATTAGAAAGTTCCAGTCCCCTGTCGTGAATATTGTTCCCTTAAATCAAATGTCCATTTGTATAGAGATTAAAATTCCTACCTGCTGAATTTTCATGCAAGATCTACAGAAGCAAATCCCTGACAGTCTTAGATGGGTATAGTATTGCAGGTCCATCTGTCTGCAGTCAGTGAGCATCTCGCTGGCCGTTTTCACCAACGCTTCCCAGCAGGACTGAGGTGTCCCTGTCTTCATACCTCGCATATCATTTTTATTGCATATTTCAGTTTGTATCAGTTTTCATTGCGTAAGCCTTCTTGTTCATTTCGTTTTTTCTCATATGACAGAATCATGTAAGAAGTTTTTAAATAATACTGATCTTTTACATTGGTTTTAGAGTGGACTCCAAATGATCTTGAGAAGCTTATTCCAGCAAAACCGGTGTATAAAAACAGTATATATATTTTTGTTCACATTTGGAAAGATGAGGTGGAGAGAGCCTCAGAGATGTAGGATCAAACCCTTCACCTCTAAACTGCTTTAGACAGTATTTCTGAATTTTCTGAATAGTCAGAATTCAGGTCTTTCTGGTTTTCACATGTTCTTCACAAAAACAACAGTCAAGACAATTTCATTTGAATTTTGACATAATGTGATTTAAAAGAATGTCATTTGTTAATCGTTTAAGAACGAGACATCATAAGGGCTTACTGAGCTGTGTGATGCTCGCCATTGTGCATTGAACATATCAGCGTGTAGCTTAAGAATGATTCTGTATGTCGGTAGGAGTAATTCTCTATTCCTTGTTTTTACTGCCTTCAAAAACCACTTTGCCACCAGTATACTTTTGTAAGTATTGACAGCAGGCACTGGTCGTATCTATTTCCAGAATGTGTTTGGTTATATATTTCCGATTGAGGTGTTAAAGTTCTAAGTCCATTTCTATGGATGATATGTCTGTGTTATTTTTTTTTTGATACTTTAATTCTTATTTTTGAGAATTTAGATCAAAAAAGTGAGACAAAAAGCACAACTGTTGTTTATCTGATGCAAAAACTGTTGCAGCAAGTCTACCAGGAACATTTGGGTTCTCTGATGACGTGAAGACATTGGAATTTTCACGTCCTGTGTTTGTTTTCCGACTAGTGTGGTCTGTCCTTGGCTTCCAGTGAGTGGCACAGAAAAGCATTTGTCTAGCAGTTGCCTTAATGATTGGATTCTCATCTCAAACTTGAGCTTTTTGTTCTGTATGGTATTGTAGGTCAGATCATAGTGTGCTTTGTATCTTGAGTGTTCTAAGAGCCTCATGGGGTAATGTGCACATTCCCAGTGGGAAATGTTTCAGAGCTTTGGTCTGAAACGGGGGAAATACTGTCTCTGATTGGTTGGTTTGTGGTTTCATTCTCAGATCCCAGCACATGAGTGGTTTCTGATTTCCATGACAAAATGGCCATCACTGTTGTTGAGGGTAGATGAAGGCAGATCGTGATGGACAGTGAGCCATATTTACCAAGAAAATGTGAGATTTTAAAATGCTTTTTTTTTTATTGCCAGGTCTCCCAAAGCACTTTTTCCATAAATGCCTTGCTAGTATTAATTTCTCGCAAAATATATAGATGAATGAAAAGTGATCAGGCAAAATTTCCATATTAAAGGTAATTTTAATGTAAATTAATATTATAAATGCATATTTGAGGTCCCATTCTTTTGCTGAGGTATACAGTTTAACCCACTGGTACGAACAGTGGTGTTAATGTCTGTGTAATTATTTAGCAAAGTTTTAGGTTTTTTGTGTCCTACAAATGCATGTTATCTCTGTAGTAAGATCAGAAACAGCTTTGATGCTTGGAAACTGAGTTGAAGCCAGTGATAAATTTAATACAGAGAATCAGTGGGGAATGAGTCACAGACTTGATGAATGAGGTGTGATCTGTGCATTATTACAGAGGATGACATACAGAGCTGTCCAATCTTTTCAGTTAAATGGATGTCACCTTATGCAATTTTTGAATGGGAAATTTATGTTTTCAATACATGTATACATTTTTTTGTCTTTAGGTATTGGTTTTAACTCTGACGTATTGGTTTGGTAATCATATAAATGGACATTTGAAGAAAAAAACATTTTCTGCTGAACAGATGAAAAACAGGGCACCTTGCGAGCCAACTGATCGTTTCCCATCGATGTTCTCATTGAGAACAGGCAGGCGATGTGCTTCTCTGCACTGGGCAGACGGGCTTGTGGGGAATCTGCTCGCTCTCTTGTTTTTATTGAGCATGATTATATTAACACGGCCTCCTGTTGGTGCCCAGCGCTGAATGTTAATGAACTTTGAGAGCGGGGAACGGGTCAGACATGCAAGTCTGGAGTTCTGTGTGACCAGTGAGAACAAACCAAGCATCGTATGGAGTCACGCTTTAACGTTCAAAAGCCAGTATACCCAAAGAAAACTTCACCGTGCATTCTTCTGAAGTCTTTTATATGCATTTTGAATACATGCCAGTTTATTTTGTATTGTAAACACTTCTTTTTTCCATAGAGTACCTTTTGGGTCCATTCAGGGTGTTTATAAGGATACGTGATCTTCATCAAAGGGTTTTGACTCTTTTGTGAGTGTGGGGGAGGGGGTTAAATTTTTGATACAGTACAAATTGCCAAACTGCTTTTTATTATTAAGCAGAACCATTACTGTTCTAAAACCGTTCGCAGATTAACTGGCCTAATATAACAAAGTACTGCTGTGTCTGCTGCTCCATCCGTTCCCGTAGCACTGACTCTGTCCATATCCAGTATCCCGTATCGTCACAAGCGTGGCCTTTTGCTGTTATGGCCTCATCCTCACTGTACTATGACCTTCTGTGACCTTCGGTGACCTCTGTGTTGCTCACTTTATAAAGCCTCCACTGTCATTTCAATTGGAAGACATTTTGATTGTGCAAAAAAAAAAAGTTAAATCTTCCACTATTTTTTAACTCAGAGATGCATTGTAGCAATCTGAAGCCACAGCAATGGGCAAAGCCAGTGTGCTGAACCTTATGTGTAAGTTGTTTATTACACAAGCAACATATTCTTCTTATTGTTTTTTTCCTGGATTTTTAAAAAGGGATGTGTTTAATTTTCTAACTCTTGTTACGGAGCCATTTTGTTTGCCTGATGACGTTAGTGAAGCACTGGGTTTCTGTACCTCTCCTGTGTCTGAGCCTCACCTGTGACGACTTATTTGTATGCAGTGTTTAGCGAATACCTTAGCACCGTTGGACGCGGAGATTAGGAGCATTTTGATCAATTTGTATTTATTTATTTTCCATTTTGCTAAATAAAAAAAGACACCAACCAGTTGGCTGTGCTATTCATTTCTCATCAAGGATGTTTCTATTACTTTTAATGCAGGAAGTTTAGTCTGGAAATGCTCTAAAAGCATAATACTTTGTGGCCATCACACTATTACTTCAACGGGCAATGCTTGTGAAACTGTGCTATAATAGTTTTTTAACTTTTAACTGTATTGGAAACATGGGCTGGAAGGCGGAACTGAAAGTCAAATAATAAATTCTTCTGTAATTGTGCTTTGTGTGTAGCCCAAACCTTTCTTCTTGACAAAGGCAAGCCAGAGTTACTTGTCTGATATCATAGATTCTCAATAGTTGTTATATTGCCCGGCCCTATCTCATTATTTCAAGAGAGGTGATAATGTGGTTTCAGAAAGAGTAACCATTATGCTATCAGTGCCGTTAATTAGGGTGACCAGATAATCCATGTCAGGAACGACACTTTGAGCTAGGATTTGAAAACTACCATTTCAATTAAAAGGACCTGGATTTCACTTAAGCATTTCACTCCTTTAATCATGCATGTGTCACTAATGTTAATGAATAACCCTTGAATACTTGTGCAAAGTGCATAAACACATAGTGTGGCAGTGTTTAAGTGTCGTCCAAATGGGATAAATGGAACTAAGCCGGAGGGTGTGCTGGGTGTATCTCTGTACATTACCTGTGTCCAAAGGGCTGTGCCCTTCTAAGGCTGCATTCGACGACCGAATGCATCACAGTGGCACGAAAAGACTGTCCCATTTCGAAGGCTCCTTCAAATGCAGACTAGGGATGCATGCTTGATTTCCTGGGCTGTGATGCATCTACCTGATGGATCCATCACAGACAACATATCCCAAGGTTCATCACACTTACCATCGAAGAACGCAGCCTACAAAGGCTACAGAGACTGCATCCTTCAAAGGATGCTGTTTATCAGAGCAGTCTCCTTTTGTGGTTATTTTTGTCTTCAAATTAACTGGCTGATTTTGAATATATTTCTAAAACCAAATAATTAAATTACCTGACTTATGACTTTAATAAAACATTTATTAATGGAGTATGTCATCCCCTTTCTTGGACCTCATGAAATAGTGTTTTACTGAAATTTTTTGACTGACATACAATTTCCTGTGCGTGCTTCTACATTTTTTTGTGTACTTCAAACTTAATAGCACATGTGCTACCTGGAGAGATGGCTAGCGCAGAGCCCTGCCCACAGTACCCGAGTGTGTCTTGTGATGGACTGGCATCCCATCATCCTTGTGCCCTATGCTGCCTGGGACAAGCTCCAAGCCTCCCCGCCAATCTGACCAGGTTAAATGGTCAGAAGCTGGATGTACATTAAACACAAATAGGGGAGATTATCTCACCAGCCCCTATCTGTGTCTATAAGACTGCTATGAACATGATCCGAAAGGGTTTTATATTTATAAATATAAACTGGAGACGTTTCTGGGTAACAATCAATAATTTTTATAATGCATTGTTACTCAGGATTATACATGTAAATGCAGCTGAAGTACATAGTTTTTATTTAATCATTTTAAAATAACTTTTTTGTGATTTTTTTCCACAAGCTATTTTAAAAAAGTATACCAATGTTAAGTATAATGTTTTGTCAGTGTCTATTCCTGGTAACAGGTGTTGTGAACCAATTACCATGTCTGTGAACGAAATTTTGACAATCGGCTTAAGCATGGTAATCAAAATGTGTGAAGTTTAAAGAGCAGAATCTATCTAAAAGCAACACTTTATCTAGATGAGGTTCTAGGAGGTGTTCAGACTGGCTATGGCTCAGTCACTGGAACGTTGTGGGTGAACCCTTGCAGACCTGCAGTCCTCGTGAAGGCATGCACCGGCATGAGGGCTGCCCTCCTCAGAAGTGAGCGGCATGCTCTTGGCTCACCATTGCATGGTCTTGCTGCGGGTGAGTTTGTTCTTCAGGGCATAGCCCACCTGTAGCATACGGGAACGCTTTTCCATGGCCAGCTGCTGCTTATGGAAGGCCAGCTTCACCTCCAGGACCAGCTGGGTCATGGCACTATCCACTACAGTCCAGTCTTCTGCCACAGACAGCTCGTAGAAAGTGCACCTGCAGAGGGGCCGGGTCACCGCATGAGCTCTGGAAGGACATGACTTTAACATCCATTATCCCCTTTCTGGAGCAACAATTCCCTTTGTCTCCGAAAAAAAACTTGCATTTTGTAATTATTATCAAACTAAGTAATTATGAGGCATAAACACTGCTGAATAAATTCACTCCACTGGTATTTAAAATACACAATACTTTTGTGATTGACTTTATACGTTATATTTTCCTCCCCTATAAAACTGCTTGTAAATAATAATAATAATAATAATAATAAAAATGATGTCATTAACAAAATGAAAGCAACACACACTTTTGAAATGTTAAATAAAATTATGGAATCCTTAGGAGAATTCCAGTGATATCAGATACTACATTTTAGCATCAAAAAACATGTAAGCAGTTCAACTTAAGACACTGCATATGTTATATACTGTAGCCAAAAGTACACAGACGCCAGCTTGTCCAACATGTCATTCCAAACCCAAGGGTGTTACAATGAAGTTGGCCCATCCTTGGTTGATATAATAGTCTCTAGTCTTCTTGAGAGGCTTTCCGTTTGATGTTGGAGCATTGCTGGTGGAATCTAATGTCATTCAGATAGGGTATAGGTTGAGGTTGAGTGGCTGCCATTTCATACAACTAGATGTTTCCATTTCACAATCACTTCACTCGCAGTTGGCCTGGGCAGCTCTAGCAGGGCAGAAATTTGGGGAACTGACTTCCCAAGGGTTGGAAAGATGGTGTCCTATGATGGTGCCAAGTGGAAATTAGGTAAGTATTGTATTTATATACCACCTTTTGAGAGCAAATGTCATAAAGTGCGGGTAATAAAACAGATACTCAAACTTCAATAAAAGTCTTGTCTGTACAAAGAAGTTTGTAAACACTGTTTAAAGGAGCCACACTGCTGGCTGATCTAATGTCCAAAGGCAGACTATTCCACAGCCTTTGGGCAGCATCTGCAAAGGCTCTATCAGCCCTGGTCTTAAACCTGCACCTGGCGAGGAAACAAGTAAATAAAAAATCTTAAAATCTACACTCCATTTTGCTGGGAGCCAATGTACAGAAGCAGGGAAATCTGTGCCATATAGCTGGTTCTGTTTAATAGTCTAGCAGCAACATTTTAAACCAACTGAAGTTTCTTCAGAACTGAGTTTTGCTTCATTTCCACCAACATGGATTCGGTGCTGATGCTGATGCTGGTGCTGGGCTGGTTCTCGCTTGGTGCCTTTTGATGATCTGCCTATGTTTCCACCAGCTTCAAAAAAGAATGGATTGGAAACGTTACACAGGTGGAATTGATAGTACAGTAAGGGCTCATATGTATTCCATTTTTTGGATCTATTTTTATCTGTTTTGGATTTTAAGTTTTTATAATCTGCCGAACTGAAAAAAAAGTTTTCAGAGTATGCCTCATTGTGCTCTGCTTCTTTTGCCTAAATCCACTTTTGTCTCCGTAATAGAAATTTGCTAAAAATTGAAAGTTGTCCGCCTGATGATGTTTTTGCCACTCGGGCGCCGCAATATTTTATTCATTCGACCTATGAAAAGTTCACAATTTCTTATTAAATCTGGCCACTAAATTGATCTTTTGTTTTCCACCGAATAAAAAAGACAACCTTATTCTGCTAATAAGCTGGCAAGTTGTTTCACTGTCGGCACCAGTGATATTAGACAAAACTATATCGGTTATGGATTGAATTTTCCAGATATGCAGAACATTTGGACTCGATAGCCAATCCCACATTCGCTGATATTATGGTGCTAAATTCTGACACCAGCTTTTCTGTGGGGACATGCTGAAGCCATTTTTTCTGGCTTAGTGCCAGTTTTTTGTGGTGGAAGTGCGTGGAACTAGTTTTGGAGTGGAATTAAGTCCAACACCAGCACTGAGATGGTGGAAAATAGGCATTTGAGAGGCAGCTGAAGAGAAAATGACAATAATCTAAACAAAATAAAATGAAAGCATGAATTATGGAAGAATGAGATACAGCTCAGTACCATCTGTATAAAAGTATGATATATGGATAAAATTCCTAATAATCTTACCAAGTGGAAGTATGAATATACTAAAAAGAAGAAAACTGATCATTGAGGAACCCTGCAGGAAAGAGTAGCTAATGAAGACACATGATTACCCAGAGCAACAGAGAAATATCTATCAGAAGGGTGTGAGGAAATTCACTGCACTGCTGCCCCACCTAAACCCACCCATTGATGATGGCTTTCAGTCACAACACCGTGGTCCACCACATCAAAGCTGCAATAAGCTCTAATAGTTTCAAAATAGTGCACTGAAAAGAATCTGCACTCATAAGGATATGATTAACAACCCTTAAAAAAACGATTCGGCACAATACCTGTTACAGAAATCATATCTTGAGCCTCCACGACTTCTAACAATTGTCCTGCCACAGCATTTTCTGTAACTTTTGATATAAATCAAAGTTTGGATATAGGTCTGTAATTTCACTACCCTCTTTGGTAGTCTCCGTTTCTGCTGCCAGTGTTTGTTTTTGGAGACTACATGACTGTGTACTTAATTATGCACCTGTGTCAGCAATAGGTGTGGCTTAAATAGCCAATTCTTCAAATGAACAGGGGTGTTCACATATTCTTGGCTATTTCATGTATAGCCAAAATTGGGCTATATGGACGTCATATAGGTTACAGTAAGCAAACATAATAATTAGTGGTGTTCACCTAAAAAGCTACACTGGAAATGAGATGATGAAGATGTGACCTTAGCTCGTTGGCCAGGGCTTGTCCCTCCTCTGTCCGAACAGCTCGTCCATTCTCCATGTCGCTCTTATTGGCCACAATTGCAATGGGCGTGCCTGTCAAACGCATAACATGGTTCAGAAAAACAGCTCTGATACCGCTGGGTCCGACTTCCTCTTTTCCCTGCCATGGAAGCCCAGTTCGCTCTGATGACAGGAACATAACAAGCTCCATAAACCCGTCTGAAGTAAAGAAGACGGCTGGGCACCGTGGAGCTACTTTGCTGCATCTTAGTCACCTTTATTACATTTCACTACCCCTCAGAAAGAGGCCTGTTTAATAAAAGAAAGCATCCTCAGCAGGTTTAGCACTGAAATCTTATGGTTTAGAATTAGAACTTAGTGATCAGTGTTGACACACCACAGCACACAACAACAAAATGTGTTCTTTGCATTTAACCAATATGTGACGTCGTGACATAGCAGGGGGCAGCTAATTCAGCACCCGGGGAGCAGTGCTTGGGGGTGGTACCTTGCTCAAGGTAATTCTGTGGTGCCTTACTGGTCAGGGATTCAAACCTGCAATCTTTCCATTACAAGTGTGCTTCCCTAACCGTTTGGCAGGCACAGTTGATCACCCTGTTTTGGCCGGCCTATCAAGCTGGTCAAGCTAAGCCAGCTAGAATGACCATCATAAGCTGGTTGAAGCAGCTAAACCATCAAACCATCATGCGCTAACGTGCATTAAGCTGGTCATCTGTCATAAATTGGTCAAGCAGCTTAAGCTGATCAAGCTGTTTTTTTCAGCAGGCAACACTCTGAATGCCACAGTAAGTCAGGTCTTCAAGAAATGAGCACAGCTGGACACATCCCCCTGCACCAGGGAGTCGACTACATCACAAATATATAGAGCAAATGCTTTCAAAAAAACCAGGTCACACTAATCAGTAGCTCTTCCCTTTTGTAAAGCAGTATTCCACAATTGCTAACATCATCCCCCCACAACAATTTGAATGTTTTTTTCCACCCCAAAATATGGACTGACAGGTGAAGAGCCAAGTTTACCAAAGGTCTGTTTGAAGTGGTCGATCTGCCTCTTCAGGTTTGAGATACACTGAAATGTACTGCGGTCCGTCACAGAGTACATAATCAGGAAGCCGTCGCCCCATTTGATGTAACTCTCCAGAGTGCCGGCAGTGGGTCCCGAACACTGCCATGCAGACAAACACAACAGTCAACAAAGGTGACAATCAAAGCCTGAACAACAAACAGGCTCACATGAAATAAGCTGGAACCTGTTTCTGGAAGAACCAACAAAGCTCCTTCAGTATTTTCTAATCTGCTAGAGCACTCAAGAGTTTCACATTTTGATCCTTGTTACAGGCAGATGCATTTCATTGTTTTCATTCTTAGTTACTTAGAGGACATTTTTACCCAAAGTGAAGCAAAGCTTTGGAAGGTGCTGGATATACTAGAGCAGGCCCAAATTCTGAACATTGCATATCCATCCATTTTCCAAACCACTTATCCTTTTTGGGTCATAGGGGGTCCAGAGCCTATCCTGGAAGCTACAGGCACAAGGCAGGGAATAACCCAGGACGGGGGACCAGCCCATTACAGTGCACACTCACACACCTATGGGCAATTTAGTTACTCCAATTAGTCTCAGCATGTCTTTGGACTGTGGGGGGGGAACCAGACTACCCAGAGGAAACCCCACAATGACACGGGGAGAACATGCAAACTCCACACACCTGTGACCCAGGCAGAGACTCAAATTCAGGTCCCAGAGGTGTGAAGCAACAGTGCTAACCACTGCACCACCATGCCGCCTCATATTGCCCATTTAAGGAAATTTTGCACAGTATTTACCAATGTTTGTTGTTCAAAGGCATTGATTCAGTTCTGTGGAGGATCTACTTCAAATCAGGTCAAATCAATTCAGAACTGATGGTAGCCATGTCAACAACATCGGAAGGAAAAAATCGATTGAATTGAGTGAGGAGTATTCTGTGTGTGTTTATAGCACTATACATATTCCCTGATTAAACATCTTCACCCTTTACAATTCTTTCAATCCACTGTTTACTTGACATAATCTATAATCTGTTTTTGCATTAAGTAAAATGCCGGGGGGTGCACATTGCTTGAATTCCCCTGATTACCTTGCTGACTGTGTCCAAGATCTCCAGATCAATTGCTTCTTTGTCCACAACTCTCTGACACTTATATGTCACCTCTGTATATCGAAGTCACAAGCAGATGCAGTTATCCATATAAGGTCAGGCTGGGTTCTTATATAACTGCAGTAAAATGTGATTCATGGTGGCTTTACCCTTTTTATGGTCATACTCTCCAATGAAACGTTTGGTGATGAATCTGACGCAGAGTGCTGAGGGAGTACAAAGCAAAGCAGGTTTTTATAAGGGCTCCCTTAAATATTTACGAGCAAAGTTAAATAAAGAACCCTAAAATTCCAAGAAAATAAGAGGTTCCTTAAACAGCAGCCTGAAGAATTAAAAGTTGTTTGGTTATCTTTATTGTAAGTGCCATTGATCATTTCAGCTATATAATCCCATTTCCTCTTAAAATAAAATTATATAAAATAAACTTTCATCATTTTGATTGCTCAGTCCACATTTTGCATCCTTCCATAACGTTGGATGGACATCCTGCTGCTCTTAATTCAATGTGATTTTTGTCATCTGTGTTTTCATACCTGTCTTGCCACAATTGTCCCCTCCAAGTACCACCAGCTTGACTCTGTTTAGTCTCCTAGTTAGCCCACCGTCGCTCATGGTGACAGCTCTATTGAAACATTTCAGTAATTTCACTGGCTGCACTTTTCCCCTTATACTTCACATAGATAATAACTAACTGCCTTCCATGCACAATGTGTGTGAACAACAAGGAATAAACTACCAAGATTAATGGAGTGAAGTGTACTGATGACCGTTTTATGTAAGCCTTTAACCCTACCCATTTTGAGCGTTTTTCTACCCCTTTGATTTTAGGCTTTTTACATGGTATGTATAGGAGTTAGTCAGGTTTGTTTTCAGGACATTCTGGACTACTCAGATATGTCGTAATTTGATATGTAAATGCTGACAGTCTTGATATCATTTTTATGAGGAAAAACTACTTGCGCCTATTGAAATTTCTCAATTTTTAGTCTTTAATAAAAAATTACAGGTAGACGGAGCTCGACAACAAACACAGATATCCAAACTTTCGCGAATAAATATTACGAAAATATCAAGTAATCGTTTTCTTAATAAATAGAATGCTGCGTTTTGTTGTTATTTCTAGTAGAATTTTTGAGTGTTTCTGTATGTCTTTATTTTTAAGGTTATAATAGATAAATAAGAAAATAAATATTTTCCCCAGAATGATAGTACGTGGACTATTGCAGAAGCGAACATGCGCTTTGTTTCCATGTAATATCGATGTTTTTTGGATTATTAGGGGTGCGTTTTGGTGGAAAATGTTTCAAATCTAGGCTATGCCTCATTAGGCACAGGATGACCCTGGAATACTTTAGTGCCAAAAGCTACAACTTCGACGACCGGATCGAGTACGTTCTCTCGATTCCAACGACATGCGATTCATATATGTGCGGTTTACCTATCCAAAGTCTGGGATTACGGGGTGCGGAAATCAACGTTTGTCTGGTTCTAAGGCTTAAAACTAAAATCTAAACTCTTCGTAGTCTCCTTAAATGTGACGCGCTTATTCAGTGTTCATGTTAAATCCTATCGATATTTTCAGTCGATAGTAATTTAAATTTTATTTTATTTAAAATTACATAATATAGACCGTACCGCGCTATTCTTTGGTAATCAGTATAATTCTGACTATACTTTTTAAAACATTACTCACAGTACGTTGTCTTGTAGGTAGATGTTAGTGGCTCACAGTTGTCTGGTTGTAAGAAAAAAGGAGTGATTGTCAAACCCATAAGCGTTTTCAGGGCTTGTTAAAAGGAAAATATAAACATCGCAGTCACTTTATTTAGATCCACATCATGATTATCTACCACAAATTCCTTTCCAACTGGTAACACATTAGCCAATACCATGGGCGTTGTAACGGGATTGTTCAGCAGTAAAAAAAATAAAAAATATATAGGCCTATATTCAGTACAGTCAATAATTTCTTGCACGCTTCTCTATATTTACATTTTCGTCTATTATATGCTGCATTTAGTTTCTTCTGCGTTAAAATAAATTTATTTGCAGATTTTGTTTTCAGATCTAAACATTCTTTTCCATAGTTCTTGTCAAACATGTTTCAAATAATGAATATTGTTTTTTTTTGTCTGCAGCTTCGATCCACTGGACCCATGGAGAAAAAAAATCTGTTTAGGTTATGCTTGTAGCAGAACTGACTGTGTAAAATAAATTTTGAAATTAAAAAAAAAAAATGTTTGACATGGATGGAACAAAATGTTATTGGTACGATATATCCATCCATCCATCCATTTTCTGAAACCGGTTATCCTGTTCAGGGTCCTGGATGCATGTCCGGAGCCTGTCCCGGAGGTTATGGGCGCAAAGCAGGGAACAACCCTAACCAAACACATGACAGGTACAATAATCACCCGAAATTCTGCAGATCAGAGTTGCAAGCAAGCGATATTTGTATACTTTTTGGATGTTCTTTTTTCCAGAAAGGATACTTTTCACCTTTTAAACATATTGGAACTGCCTACATTATTCAGAAAAAACAAATGACATATAAACCTATTATTACGTTGCTAGTCGGGGGTTCGAACCAGCACTCTCTCAATTACAAGTGCGCTTTCCTATTAGCCCACTACTGTCACACAAATTCTGATATATATTTTCCACTAACCATAATTGCAATTCTAGCCCTCATATGTGTTATGTTTTTTAAATAGCCTACATCCGCCTAAATTAGTATACTTCACTTGTCTGACTTGGATTTTACAGCGAAAACAGGTATCATGCACGCGCAAATATTTGGCCTCTAAAGATGAGGTTACACGTCAGATTGTCACAGCAAAATAATTAAAATAAAATGTCGACGATTAAACTCATCTAATAAGGTCAGTCTGTCTTACAGTGTAATGTAAAAAATAAATATATTGTCTCGTTATGTAGTTGGACCTAATTAACATCGCATTGTTTTTGTGGAGGCTTATGTGACGTATTCAAAGTGCGCTCCGGCTCCTCATGGTTGCAGTAGGTGTCTGTGGTTTTGATCTCATACGCATCAGAATTTAGAAATGAAGCATTGGTAATATCTATATATAAAACATAGGCCTGTTTCATCCCAAACGCTTAAAGCTCAAATACAAGCGTAGACCCATCCATCCATCCATCCATTTTCCAAACCGCTTATCCTTCTGGGTCGCGGGGGGTCCGGAGCCTATACAAGAGTAGACCATGAAAGTAATTATCCCGACAATTTTAGAACATGATTTTTTTTTTTAAATCTTGTAAGTCATTATAAATTTATACTAATGGAACAACATACATCCAATATTATATATCCTTAGTTTTTGTATTTTATTTAGAAGGTAAATAAAAATGTAAAACATTTGCGAATATACGTAAAGAGAAGAGCTTAAAAATTGATCTTAGCAGCAGAATAATGAAAATAAACCAAGGCAGCCACTGTATTAGGATGTATAAGAATACAAAGTTTTGAAATATTAGTCAAATATAAAAATAAAGTATATAGCCCACAGGAAAATGGCAAAACTATAAATTAATAATTAAGTTTACTGTATAAAAGTTGTACCGACTGTCGATACAGCTTATTCGATATGATTTTTAATATACAGTCCTTTACAGCTGATCAGTACCTTCGCCAGAGCGCAGCAAAGTAACGTCAGACGTTATGGGTAAAAACATCCCGCATTTTCGAACGTATTACAATAAGTTGAACAGCGGCATTATTAGTACAAACATAATATTTTTTGGAAAACATTTTTAAAATACATTTTTAAATAAGTATGACCAGTATAACTTGGATCAAAATACTTCATACGAGAAGCCTGCATGTAGCGAAAGTGCCTTAGTGAATTGAACCGGAGAAACACACGTAACGAGTGACGTGACCTCATGAAAATAAACAGAAAATGGGACATCTGACGTGTTTCGGTTCGTCGATAATGATCAAAACAGTTATTTCCCGATTACATGTAATCTCTGTTAAACTATAAATCAGTTGTTTAACGCGAAAAAGCAAAACGGCACAGAAATAGCAGGGAGCCTTTGTGATGATCCGTAAGTAGCTGCCTGCGCGCATATTGATATCTTGCTATATGTTTCTCTTATATTCCGGTTCGCCATTTGTCCCATTTTACTAATTAAATAGTGATTTTCACACATATAGTCGTTACATTTTATATTTCAGGGCCAGCTGGGTGTAAGCTATTAAGCGTGAAAGGGTAGGGTTATTTTAAAATGTCAGATATTAGCATACAACGAAGCTACGTGGACAGCTAGGGACGCAATGCACGTTTTTGTTTATGCCATAAGCGCCTTATCAAAGTAGTACTGCTTAATATGACCTGTTCTTGTATTAGGCGACCTTCGTTATGGAGAACGACTTGAGCCCACAAGACAAGAAAGACCTGGACAAGTTCATTAAATTCTTCGCGCTAAAGGTAGCTGTTATGTATGCAGTCGTACTATGTTTAAGTGTAAAACATAAATGAAAATTACTAAATGACCTTTAAGTCGTCTAAACTTTGGAAGGCAGTCATCCTGCTAGTATTTCCAGCATTAAATCGCTGTTCTTCCCATTCATCAGACGGTGCAGGTGATCGTTCAAGCCCGTCTTGGAGAGAAGATCTGCACACGTTCATCTTCCTCGCCCACCGGGTCCGACTGGGTAGGGATCTGATTTAAACTCCAAACCAGACAAATTTCCACACTAACAGTTTGATCATCATTTAAAATGGACGTAAAGTGCATTTATATCCAACTTGCTGTCGCATTGCGTATTTTTGAGATTATTTGCTACGAAGCAACACCTTGGATTACGATACTTGTTGTTGTTATTTCTGTAGTATCACGTAATGCATTTCTCTGTTTGAATTAAGTTCAATCTAGCAATAAAAGATATTCCAGAAGTGACCCATGAAGCAAAAAAGGCGTTAGCTGGTCAGCTCCCTGGCATTGGCAGGTCCATGTGCGTGGAGATCTCCCTTAAAACCTCGGAGGTGAGACGATCCTAGCTAAGTAATAAGTAGGGTAACTGCAGTAAATGATTTTTTGATGAGTTTTTGAATTGTTAAATGTAGTATGACCCCAGCACTGGTTTTGGCCACCTGCTGTGTAAACTGACATTAGGTCCAAACGAATTTAAATCGATTTAAACCATTATCTAGCCTCTGTTCAGATGAAGTGTGAGATTCCAGTCAAGTAAAACTGTTGGCAGTATGTACAGGCCTGTATGTTTAAAGGTTTAACCTGATTTCAAACATACAGCTGTATTAATAAGCAAACAAGATGATTAAGTAGTAGTTTGGTCAGAATAATGCCAGCATACACAATGTGTCTGGAACCAAGGATGGGCAATCCTTGTTATACTTTAAGTAAGTTAAGGGGTGCGATTTGCATGGTTGAAGGCTTTAGTTTCATTTAGAATTGTTTTAACAGGAAACAAATTTTATGTATTATAAGTTTTTTGTAGTCTGAACACTATGGAAATATTTTGTTTTTTATGTCTAATATTAAACAGGGAGATTCAATGGAATTGGAAACGTGGTGCTTGGAAATGAATGAACGGTAATTTGCACCATTATGATTACATTATTATAATCATTCAGTGCAATTATTTCTGAACAAGCAAAGAGTTTTAAACATTTGGATAGGATATTTTCAAATTAAATTAAATTTTCAAATTTAAAATTACAATTTAGATTACAACAATCAGTTTTTCCCTATATATTTTATTTTATGTACCATTTTTGTACACGTTTGCTGATTTAACTGCACAAACCATGGTAGACATTTGATAAACAGTAAAATTTCTAATGTAACATTTCTTTCTGTTTCAGATGTGATAAGGACATCAAAGTGTCCTATACTGTTTACAACAGACTGTCTTTACTGCTTAAATCACTGCTTGCCATTACAAGGGTCACCCCGGCATACAAGTTATCACGAAAGCAAGGCCATGACTACGTTATACTGTACAGGTACATCATGTAGTGTCATATGCTGTTTATAAAAGAAACGGTGAAACTAAATTTCTGTAATATTGTGCATTTTGTTTGTCTCTGCTTAGCCGTTCATAAATCTGGCTTTTGTTCATTGTGAACATCGTCTTTATCTGGTCAACCCTTATATCTTATTTCTATAAAAAATAATTTAATCCACTGAGCTTCATCCGTTTTCCAGAGACCCTCCAATAATATTCAGTTGGCATTACTCAGTCAAACAATAATAATTCATGATAATGCCTAAAAGGCAATAGACACCGAAGATTCTCTTTGAAAGGATCAGTTAACAGCTTATATTGTATGGTAATCATGCTCAATGTAAAAAGCAATGTAGGAACACATTAGGTAAGAATTCTGCATTGTGCAAAATGGAACAAATTTTCATCACATAATGCGGCATAATGCACAAAACTCAATAATATGTAACAAATGTATAGCCTACACTAATTTTATGTTGCAACATTAACCTATTATTAATATCATCATCATTTATATAATCATAATAATCATCATTATTATTATTACGTTGTCCAAAAAAGAGCATTGTTGTATTTTTGTGAGCCATTTTGGGGATAACGAGTACATTGGGTCACTTGTTAAGTTATGAAAGAAGTTACGAAGAATTGTAATTACAAAGGGTTTTGAGAAACACACATTAATCAATGAATGATCTTAAGTACAAGAAAATAAGCAACTTTATCACAAAGCTTTTGGGAAGCGCACCCCTGAAAATTTACTTGAATTTATCTTATGAAAAATAGCTCCAGTTTGTTTGGTTACTACATAATGCAGCAATATCACGTAATGCATTGTTACGTGCCAGATTTGGCAGCCGATGGTTGGTCCTCTGAGGTCCCTGCCTTCGACTGCCGCTCGAATCACATTGCACCGGAGGTTTTCTCAATCACACTTAGTCTGGCCACTCACCTAGGACCAGATTGCCTTGGGAGACCCTACCAAGGGCAATAGCCCTCGACAGCATAGCTCCTAGGATCAGAGAGGCACACAAACCCATCCACCGCAATAAGGCGATGATTTCCAGATGATTTGGTCCTGTGGGGTCATTGGGCTGCGACCTCCAGTGTGCACTGAGGAGGTTTGCAGTTCAGTCTGAAGTGACCGTGATGAGGATCAGCACCTCCATGTCTGAGGATTCTCAACCAAAAAAGGGTGGACTGCTCCCTCTCGGTGGTAGACGGGTTACTACCTCAAATGGAGGAGTTTAAGTATCTCTGGGTCTTGTTTATGAGTGAGGGAAGAAGGTGATTGACAGACGTCACCAATGATGTGGATGCTGTACCCTTCTGTTATGTTAAATAGAACTGAGCCAGAAGGGAAAGCTACATTCCGATCTACATTCCTACCCTCACCCATAGTCATGAGCTTAGGGTAGTGACCGAAAGAATCTAATCGAGGATACAAGCAGCAGAAATGAGATTCCTTTGCAGGATGTCTGAGCTCAGCTTTAGAGATAGGGTGAGGAGCTCAAAGTAGAGCTGCTGTTTCTTCGCATCAGAAGCAGCCAGTTGAGGTGGTTCAGAAATCTATGTAGATATTTCCTGGGCGCCTTCCTGGGGAGGTGTTTCGGTCATGTCCCACCTGGAGGAGGCCCCAGGGCAGACCCAG